TAAGTGGAAGTTTTTCTGCTGCTTCACGCTCACCCTTGTCACCTGTCAGGAGTGGGAGACAGTGGCGTGAACAGCCATGGTGGCGAGGCAGCCGGGGTTCTGCCCGTCCCTCAGCCCTGGGCAGGCAGTGCTGGGACAAACAGCATGTGTGGGATGACCTGAGGGACACTGGGCTGCTTAATAGCTTCTGGTGTCATGGTCCTTGATGGTTAGTTCCTGGCAGACCCTTTGGCTGCATGCTGGCACAGCCTCCTCTGGCACAGCACCAGTGAGGCAACACTGAAATCCGGGGAGCAGCTATCCCAGCCCGAAATGCTGGTGCTGCCCAGGGCTGCGTGGCCTTGGTTGTGAGGGCAGCTGCCTTGTCTGATCAAGACTTGGTGGGCGATTGCTGTGGCTGAGCTGGTGCCTGCAGTGGCTGGTCCCAGTGCCAGTGGCACAGAGCTGCTGGGGGAAGCACCTGGCCCCTGAGCAGGACCTGCCATGCATTTTCATTGTGGGAGCTGCGGCCTGGCAGCAGCTGAAGAGTTAATGCCTTTGATCTGCCCCAGTGAGCAGGAGAGGGTCTGGGAGACCATCAGATGCTAATGTGTTTCCATTGTGGGAGCTGGGGAGGAAACAAATTAAAGAGGAGAGCAACCCCCTGTGCTTCACCTTCCTGGAGCCAGCAGCTGATCATCTGCATGTGGGTGCTGCCAGGGCGAAAAGCCAGTTGCCTGCTGCGGCGTGTCTCTGCAGCCCTCGCTGGCATGGCAGGGACATGTCACGGGCTGCGGCTTTCACCTGGATGGAGATGCCCCTGTGGCTACTGATACCAGACAAGATGGACCTCTGCACCCCGACACGGCCAGCCCCGGGGGACGCTGCCAAGCGGGGCTGCCTGGCGAGGGGAGCGCCGTGCCGGAGGGATGCCAGGCTGTCCTGTCGCTCTTGGCAGGCGGCGGGGGGCTTGGAGGACGTGGGGCCAGCGCCGCTGGGAAGCAATTACCTCCCTGCTGCGTCCAGCCCTAATCCCCTCACACGGCGCACGAGGAGCCAGCTCGCCAAACAAGGCTCAATCAGGTTAAAGTGTGAAGTCAGGATTAACCAAAAGAATGAGAGTGTGGTAATAGCCCCGGCCTCCCTGCCCGGTCGCCGCAGCCCTGCTGCGGCCCCCTCCCTCCACCCGCCCTCCAGCCCGCCGGGCTCATGCCGGGGAGATTAAGGCTGCTGGTTTGTTTGCCTGAGTGGGCTCCCCACTGGGAAGAGATGTCGAACAGTTTTGCTCGGGTGCCCCGCTAAGTGCCGGGCAGGGCGGCGCACTGGGGGGTTGGCTCCTGCCGCCGAGCCCCTGCCAGCCCCGAGGGAGCCGTACCCCACTCCTGGCTCCTCGCCGAGGCTCCCCAGGGATCGGCAGCCGTGGGCCAGAGGCTGCTGGCTGCCAGAAAAGCCAGTGCTGGGGGCACCTCCTGAGCCACCCTGCAGGTATTCCACCAACCATCGTGCACACAGTGGGGAGGATTCAAGCAGGGAAGCATTCAAAATCCCAGTCCCTGACCATGGCCACCCTCCATGCTACCCAGCCGGGGGGAATGTGTGTATGTAGCTTGGCCATAAGGCTTTTGGGGATGTGGAAGGAAATTGGGTGCCTTCCTTCTCCCCATGGACTGGAGCTGGCTGTTGCTAATTAACAGGCATCTGCTGGGTCAGAAACCCGTGTGGGAGATGAGCCTGGGGGCAGAAGGGGCTGGGCTGGGGCTGGCTTAGGAAGGGGGGAAAATGCAGCAGATTCTTGGGGAGCAAGTGGGGGCCCTGGTTTGCAGACAGGCTGCTGAGAGCTTCCCATTGGGGCATGCATGTGTGCTACAGCCTCCATGGAGTGTTTGCCCAGGGTGTTGGCAGTCCAGATGTCTGGCTCTGTCCTCTGGCACTTGCAGGGAGGAGGAGGCTGTGCATCCCCCATTGCCTGCTCACCCCTCATCATCCTTCCCCCTCTGCACCCGTGGGATTACTGGAGCCCTTTGCACCCTGTCCTGTGCAGGGAGAAACTCCAGCTCCATGGTCACCATGGCATGGGGATGGGAGGACAGCAGTGCTGTGGATGGGCCAACTGCTTGGGTATTCCCTGGGTTCTATATCCAGGAACTCTTAAACTTGGAGCTTTAGGAAAATACCTGGAAGTGAAACTGGAAAAGACAGAAAGGCAGCTGTGACAACAGGGCAGGGGCTGCTTTCTTTCCCCCTCTGCCTGTGCCCATCCACTGGCTTGGTCCCCAGAGGGGCTGTCAGACCTGTCAGTGCTTGTGGTCACCACTGCAAGCTGGCACTCCGAACGCGATGGCAGCAACACACTTGTATTTGGCGGGTTGCGAGGTGTCACCGGCACAGCCGCCGAGGGTGCCGCAAGCCGTGCGGTGGAGAGAGGAGAAGCCGTGCCATCTGCTGTTTTTTTGGCGCCAAAGTGTAAAGCAAACATAGCTGGGAGCTATGAAACACCAGGAGGGAAGGGGCCGTGCCTTGTTCCAATGCCGGGGCCCAAGGATCCCGCAGGCAAAGCATGTGTTTGTCCTGGTGTCGTCAGCTGTGTAACCATGCCGGCAATGTAAGCCCAGTGCCGGGGCCTTGCTGAAACCCTCGCATCCAGCGTCTGTCCCTCTTGGCTTCGGTACCCCCAACGGCAGCACTTGCATCGGTGACTGTCACAAAAAGCTGTGAAGGGGAGAAGCCTTGCAAAGTCAGTTGCAACCTTCTAGCAGCATTTCCCTTGTGAGCTGTAAGTGAGCAGCTTGCAGACAGACGCCTGGGTTTACTCCCCGGGCGCGCTGGGACTCCCATGTGCTGCGAGCGGAGAAACACAAGCAAGGTTTTCATAGGGGAACCAAACAAGCTGCAGGCTGGGGCTGCCTGGGCAGGCAGTGCCAGAGCTGTGAGGGGGTTTCAGAGCACTAAAGCATGGTGGGTGTTCCATGCTTGGCCACGCTGTGGCCAGTTTAATGTTGGAGGACAGGCAGGTGCCCAGACAGAGCATGATGCATTGAATGCAAGGCTAGGAAGAGCAGTGAACTTTTGGGGTTTCCAGAGGGTTTCCTATGGGGATTCCTTCCTATAGGAGCCAAAAGGGAAGAGGGGATTTGGGGCAATGATGTGTTTTTCTGAAGGGTCAGTGCAAGTCATAGGGGTCCCGGGCTCATGGCGTCCCCAGCAGAGGATGGGGAGGGAGCGTTTGCATCTGAAGGGATGCTGGCATGTCGCGGGCTGCTGCAGGTGTCGGGTCCTTCCCCTTAGGAGTGTGCGAGGCGACTCCGATCCTTCTGGGGGGCCTCGGCCCAGAGCCCTGGGAAGGGCTGGAGCGGGGCGGAGCAGGCAGCGCAGGCGGCCCGGGGCGGGCAGCCTGGCAGTGCCGCCGCGCGGGTAGCAGTGAAACTGCGCCTGCCGCGCACCGGCTGCTGGCGGGGGAGCGGGGCTTTACCCTCCCCGGGAGCCCGGGCCTCTCCAAGGTAGGCATCTCTCTCTCTCTGCTCCAGCAGCGGTGCTTTGCCAGCCGAGTTTGGATCCCCAGGAACGAGACAAAGCAATGCAGCAGCCCTTGCGCGGTTAATACGGTGTCAGAGCGATGCAGCAGCCCCTGCACAAGGTGTGCAGGGCACAGGGGCTGGTGCATCAGTCTGGCACCATGTGGCAGCTCCTTGGTGGCTGGGCATCCCACTGGAGGGCTGGGCAAGGCCACGGTTCTTGGGTTTTCCTTCTTCTCATGCATCTGTGCAAGCGATGCTGGTGTGTCCCTCTGGCAGCGTTTCCCCGTTGTGGCAGTGAAGGTTTTATCTGGGGTGAAGTCCCAATTTGGAGATCTCCAGCTCTTTTGCAGGCAGCTTGTGGGCCATGCTGAACCTGTTTTCTGGAAGAAGCAAGGACACAGGGGAGGCTGGGGGCAGGGCGGGGAGCACAGATGCTGTGCCTCTGTCCTGACCCAGCCCAACTGCCCTGGGATATCAGTAGTGAACAGGCTTCATTATGCTGAAGCACACCTGGTGAGCACTGAGTGTGAAATACTGGCATCCAGGGACACCCCAAACCATCTCTTGGGGCTGGAATGAAGAGTGTCTGCATGGCCTGTGTAATGCTCCGGATGCTTAATCTGTGCAGGATGCTCTGGTCCTGCTCCAAACTCACCCATGGACTTGCTGCATAGAACAAATGCCACATCATGCCTCAGTTTCCCTGTGCCAGGAGGGAGCTGGGGACTTGGCCTTATGCCCCATGGGTGGCTGGAGCAGGGCTGTGATGGTGTGGGGCTGGGTGCAGGCACCTGTCAAGCTCAGAGGAGCTCCTGGCCCTTGAAGTGGGATAGGGAATGGCTGTGTGGGAGCCATGGGGCACAAACACAATAGGCACGTCCCCTCAAGGATGGGGTGAGTTGAGCCAGTCCACTCAGACTCTGCTTGCAGTGAGATTTTTGGCCTTCATGGTTATTAAAAGCCAATGCAGGCAAAAGGGGGAACCGACCCACTGCCAGCCCTGCCACACAGAACCTGGCCAGCCTAGCGCGCCCTGGCATTGCAGAGCAGGTGATCACACAGACAATGCCCTGTAGCAATGAAGTAATTAATGACCCGATTATTTGTGCCCTCTAAAGTGCAGGGCAGGCTCCATGGGAATGCCTGCTGGAGCCACTAAGTGTAATTACCAGTTAATCAGCAGGGACCTGTAATTATAGCAGTCAGAGGCTATTTAAGTACAGAGGGTTTTCCTAGCGCTGTGCCCTGCTGCTCTGCTAATCAGAGCTGGGGACAACCTGGGGAGCTTCAGCCACTTGCAGCCACCATGAATAGAGCCAAACTTGCCTCAGGATGGCCAGCAGGGCAGTGGGCAACCAAGGACCTGAAGCCAAATCACAGTTTTCCAGAGCCTCTGGGGGATGACTGAGTGCCGGAGCATGCCCCTGCCTGTGGATGCCTTGGTCCTGTGGGGCATCGTGTTTTGCAGGCACCGTTCATTTTCCTTCCTGCCTCTTTCTTCTGCAGGGACCTGAGTGAGAACTTCATCCAGGCTATCCCCAGAAAAGCTTTCCGTGGGGCCACTGATCTCAAGAACCTGTGAGTCCCAGCAGATGGGCATGAGGGAGTTTGGGGTCAGGTCCAGTGGGTGGCATTGGGACCCACCAGTCGCCTGGGCTGTCCCAGCAATGTTCTTTCTGTCTTTCTCCTGCAGGCAGCTGGACAAGAACCAGATCAGCTGCATTGAGGATGGGGCTTTCCGTGCCCTGCGGGGGCTAGAGGTCCTGTAAGTGGTCAGGGGCCAGCTGGAGCCTCCAGCCTGCAAGCACCATGTGGGGTGAGGGTGTCCCTGGGTGGTCCCCACTCACCGAGGCACTACAGGGACATCCCCAGCGTGCCATCTCACCCTGGTCCGGAGGGGGGGCTGAGCAGGGGTCTGGTATCACTGCAGCAGGTCTGTGCTCCAGGGCCTGATCCTGCTCAAGGGGGTCCACCTGACTGCAGCTGGCTGTGGAGGGAAGAAGCCTGGAAAGGGCAACAAGCCCTGCCCGGGGGTTTGAGCTGTCCCCATCCCTCACCTCACCATCCATCCACCCTGTGTCAGGGGGGGCGGAGCGGTGCTGCTGCTGCCAGGGATTTGGTGCCCCCTAGACCATCTCACGCTCTCAGTTACTGCCTGGCTGCCCTGACCTGCCCCCTCTGCCTTCCTGCAGGACTCTGAATAACAACAATATCACTTCCATCCCCGTGTCCAGCTTCAACCACATGCCCAAGCTGCGGACGTTGTGAGTGCTGGGGCCCCCCGGGTTGGAGTGGAATGTCCCCAGCTCTGCTGCCAGTGCTGGCAGCTCAGCAGTGCTGGGACAGCACTGTGGGGAGGGGATGGAGGGGACACCCATGCAGAATTTCCCCAAGAACTGCCAAGCAAGGTGGCCTTGGCAACTGACACAGATACTCTCGGGCTTGTCCATGTCCCACTCTGTATGCCCCCAGCCTTTGGGATAAGCCAGGCTGGGGCATCTGGAGGGCAGTGGGGTGGGCAGGAGCCATCCCATGGCCTCTGACTGCCCTGTGTGCCTGCAGCCGCCTGCACTCCAACCACCTCTTCTGTGACTGTCACCTGGCCTGGCTCTCGCAATGGCTGCGCCAGCGCCCTACCATTGGGCTCTTCACCCAGTGCGCTGCTCCAGCCCAGCTCCGTGGCCTCAACGTGGCTGAGATCCAGAAGAATGAGTTCAGCTGCTCCGGTGAGAGGGACAGGGGAGGCAGCGGGTGCCAGGGTAGGGACACAGACTGGGGGGAAAAAGCCTGTCCCATCGATCCGGCCCACCTCTGCTCCCTGCCATGTGCCCTAACTCAGAGTCTGGATACACACTGTGGGCTTGGCTCAGGTCAGCACAGTCCCTATCAGCGTGACAAAGGGTGCATCGGTCTGTGCCCTTGGAGCTGCCATTTGCATGGGGTTGGGGTGCAGCAGGGCATTGTGCACCTGTTCAAGGGTGCCATGAGCTGTCCCAGCACACCAAGCTGTCACCAGGGTCCCTTCCTCGGGACATAGCTGCCACATGTCCCCCTGGCCCAGCTCTTTGTCATTTCTATGGTGGTTGCTTCCCCGGCAGGACAAACGGACCCGGCACGTGCCCAGCTCTGCAGCTTGTCCTCTGGCTCCTGCCCGGCCATGTGCACTTGCAGCAATGGGATTGTGGACTGTCGAGGCAAGGGGCTGACGGCCATCCCTGCCAACCTGCCCGAGACCATGACAGAGATGTGAGTACAGCCCCTCACCACTGGGCTCCGGGTGGCTTGAGCCAGTGGGGACATGGGGGCAAGCCCCATGGCTTAGCCACCTCACAGGGCGGCAGGCCTTCCTTGCCCTTCTCCCATACTGCCCAGACTTAGCCCTGGATTTAGCTGTATTAAAAATGTAAATAGAGAAATAATCTCCTTAGGGGAATCCAATTACGGTGCAAAGCCCCCATTGGGACTGCGCGTAAAGCGTGTGGGTGGCATTGGGTGTCCCCAGACCCAGCGTGCTGGGGAGGAGGAGGTGATCCCCCCACCCCAGCCAGCATGGTTGCCCCACCCATGGCACTCCTCCCCAGTGGAGAAAGTCCTGATCACAGCCTGCAAGTTGTCCCTGGGGTGAATGGTGCCACTACACGGGGGTAACCTATTGCCAGCTTGGGTGTCTTGCAGCCCCCCAGCCCTGTCAATGGGGTGCTGGGGCTCTGCCAGCCCTACAACACTCCTCTTTCCCCCTTTTCTGTGTAGACGCCTGGAGCTTAATGGCATCAAGTCCATCCCCCCAGGTGCCTTCACCCCCTACAAGAAGCTGCGGAGGATGTAAGTGTGCAGTCCCTAACAGCTCACACCAAAACCCAATACCCTTCACCCTGCTAGCCACTGCTGTGACCCCACAGCCCCCCACTCCAACAGGCATGGGGCATTTGCTGTGACATGGGTGCTCCACATGGCAGCACGGGAAGGGGGTCTTGGATACCCCCAGCTCTGTGTATCGGGTGATGGGGGTGGTCTCCTGGACCAACTGGGAGGATGGGTGCATGGGGCAAAAGAAGAGGAGACCAGTCCACCTTCTCCCTTTGGTTTTCAGAGACCTGAGCAACAACCAGATCTCAGAGATCGCCCCTGACGCCTTCCAGGGGCTGCGCTCGCTGAATTCCCTGTAAGTGCTCACACCGGGGTGTGTGGGGTGGACACTGCACCCACTGAACTGTTCCCACACTGCTTCCCCCATCTCTCTTACACCAGCCTTTCTCTCCCAGGGTGCTGTATGGCAACAAGATCGTCGACCTCCCCAAGGGCGTCTTCGGGGGACTGTTTGCCCTGCAGCTACTGTAAGGCTCCAGCGGCTGGGTGGGATGTTCTGCATGAACACCAGGAAGCAGGGATGCGGTCCCCAACACTCATGGTGCAGTGAGGGGGTCCCTAGGTTCACCTGCTTCCTTCCCTGCCAGGCTTCTTAATGCCAACAAGATCAACTGTGTGCGGGCAGATGCCTTCCAGGACCTGCAGAACCTCTCGCTGCTCTCGCTCTATGACAACAAGATCCAGAGCCTGGCCAAGGGCACCTTCACATCCCTGCGGGCCATCCAGACCCTGTGAGTACCCATGCTACCTATGACGCCTGAGCAGGCAGGTTCCTGGGGGGAAGCATCTGGGTCGGTAGCCAGGGCTGGAGGTGGTGGTCACCTGCTGTCCCTGGCACAGGCACCTGGCCCAGAACCCTTTTGTCTGTGACTGCAACCTGAAGTGGCTGGCGGACTTCCTCCGCACCAACCCCATCGAGACCAGTGGTGCCCGTTGCGCCAGCCCCCGGCGCCTGGCCAACAAGCGCATCGGCCAGATCAAGAGCAAGAAGTTTCGCTGCTCAGGTGAGAGCCATCCCCGTCCCCATCATGGGCGACCTGCAGCATGACTGTCCTCAGCTCTGCCCCAGCCTGGTGTCCGTGTGCTCAGGGTGCTGATGTGGTTTTTTTTTTTCCGCAGCCAAAGAGCAGTATTTCATCCCAGGTAAGAGGAGAAGCCACACGCGTGTATGCATGGTGCCCTTTTGGCCACAGTGCCTGTGGTGGTGGTTGTGCCAGAGCCCTGCAGTCTGGTTTGGCAGGACCACGCTGCATTTCCCATCATTTCTGGTTGCTGAGTTCCCAGGTGGCACAGTAACAGAAGCACTGGGTACCAGGACGTGTTGCAGCATCTCCCATCATGCTTTATTCAGATTGGCACAGAGGTGCCCCCAGGGTCTGGCTCTGGTTGAGAGAGGGGAGAAGATGGTAGGCAGCACAGAGCCCCATGTACCCAGGCTAAATATCCTTGCAGATAAGCTGCTTTGGGCACAGGGAGGAGTAATATGTGCATAGCAGCTGGGATGAAGGGAGCTGGGGAAGAGATGGAGCCCAGCTCAGGGTGTGGGAGGATCAGAGGAGGGGACAGCAGGTGCAGACCCCATGCCTCTGCCCACGGGAGCCCACACTGCCCTCGCTGACATGCAGGGACAGAGGATTACCAGCTGAACAGTGAGTGCAACAGCGATGTCATCTGCCCCCCGAAGTGCCGCTGTGAATCCAATGTAGTCGAGTGCTCCAACCTGAAGCTCACCAAGATCCCGGAGCGCATCCCACAGTCCACGGCCGAGCTGTAAGAGCCTTCTCCCTCGCACTTTGCTTTCCCTCCTGCAGCCACAGCATCACTGGCACTGGGGTTTGGCTCAGAGTTTGGTCTGTGCCAGGCCTTTTGCAGCCACCTCCTGAGCTCTTCTCCCTGCTGCCCATTCCAGACGCTTGAATAACAATGAAATCTCTGTCCTGGAGGCCACCGGCATCTTCAAGAAACTCCCACATCTAAAGAAAATGTGAGTATTGGGCAGGTACAGTCCCTTCAGGAGTGGCCAGGGGCTGGGAGGGCTCATGGGGGTACTGATGCCAGGGCAGACTGGGGTGTGAAATGGGGACAGTTCCCAAGCTGAGGGTCCCCTGAAGGACTGGGCATCGTGGGATGCTCAGTGGGACCTGGGGGAGGTGAGGTTCAGGACGAGGTCAGGGCAGAGCCCCCCATCCCACCCTGCTTTCCCTTCTCCACAGCAACCTCAGCAACAACAAAGTGTCAGAGATTGAGGATGGAACATTCGAGGGGGCATCCTCAGTCAGCGAGCTGCACCTCACCGTCAACCAGCTGGAGTCTGTGCGGAGCGGCATGTTCAGGGGCCTGGACGGACTGAGAACCCTGTGAGTCCCCACTCTGCCAAGGGCACAGGGACATCCCTGCTCCTTGCTCCCCTGTCCCGCCTGTGATCCCAGTCTGCCACTGTCTGCCCCACTGTGGGGACAGCTCGGGTGTGCATTACCCATCCTCTGGCCTCATCCAGAGCAGGGGGGGCGGGGGGGCAGGTTTTTGCTGCTCAGGGACTGGCTCAGGCTCATCCTGCTGCCTGACAGTGAGGTGGGCACAGCCTGGGCACTGCTGAGGTGGGTTTCCCCTGTGGCACCCATCCAGGTCGTTAGGTGCCCTTGTCCCCTTCCCCCTGTAGGATGCTGAGGAACAACCGCATCAGCTGCATCCACAACGACAGCTTCACGGGGCTGCGCAATGTCCGCCTGCTCTCCCTGTACGACAATCAGATCAGCACCATTGCACCGGGTGCCTTCGACACGCTGCAGTCCCTCTCCACGCTGTATGTCTCAGGCCCTGGGGGGGATGCTGCCAGGCTGTCCCCATTGCATTGGGGGGCTGCAGGGGATCCCCTTGCCCAGTGACTGCTCAGGTGATGCCCTCACACTCCCTCCCATGTGCAGGAACCTGCTCGCCAACCCCTTTAACTGCAACTGCCAGCTGGCCTGGCTGGGGGACTGGCTGCGCAAGAGGAAGATCGTGACGGGGAACCCGCGGTGCCAAAACCCCGACTTCCTCCGGCAGATCCCACTCCAGGACGTGGCTTTCCCCGACTTCAGGTGTGAGGAAGGTAACTCACGGGCCCCACGGCGCCGGGGGCAAGGGGGGACCAGGCTGCTCTTCCTGAGCTGGCACCATGTTCCCTCTTCCAGCACCGTCCTTGCTCCCGGGATGTTTGACAGTGCCCCGTGGCAAGCTGGTAGCTCAGGGGGTCCCTCACCTCAACCTGTTAACACCTTCCCCTTATGATGTCCCTTCCTGGTAACCAGCCCTTAGGGCTGCACTCAGATGTCCATGAGAAGCTTTGAAGGTGGGAGAGGAGTTTGCATCCATGGCACCGCGTGGCCCTTGTACATAGTCAGGTCTGTGCTGGCAGACACTGTGCCCTGGGTGCTGGCAGGAGCAGATGTGTAGGCAAATCCCATGGGGGTTTATCCTGCTCCTTCCCTCCTTCCCTTCCCAGCCCCGCACACACGCTGGAGCTGGGCATATGGAGAAGGCGGGGAGTGCTCATGTTGAGAGAAAAGCCTTTTTAAAATTTTTTTTAAATTTAGAAAAGCTTTTGAGCCCTCTGGAAAATATTTACAAACAAATCATCATTTCTTCTGCTTTCCCTCCTCCACCACGTCAAAGACTGAAGGGTTGCATCCTGCGCCTTTCCTAACGGTGCGAGAGAACATACGGTCGTCCCGGGGACGCCTCTCCCGTGGGAGCCCAGCGCCGTGGCAGGGAAGGGGAGCAGTGCCAGCTCCTCCGGCTGCTCGGCACAGGCACTGCTCCCTATAGCCTGTGTCTGGGAGATGGGTGAAGGAGGTTATTTCAGAAGGATTTGCAGGGCTGAGACCCTTCTTCCGTGCCCTCCTCTCCGCTGTCCCTGGGACTGGATTTCTACTTGAAAATGGTGAAAATCAGAGCAGCCTTGAGCTGGCTGGTTGCATCCATCCTGGTGGGACAGGCAGTTTATGGGCTCAGGAGAGACTCCTGTACGCTGACTCTCAGCCAGGCTGAGGCTATTGCCTGCTAGTGGGTTGCCTGCAGCACCCCGCTTTGGGGGCGAGGGGAGATGGTTGGCATGGGAGAGGAGCAGTTGTAGGCGGGCACAAGGCATCGAGACCAGCCTCATACAGTGCCTGAGGGCTGGGCCCTGGTGGCTTTGTGACTCTCTGTGCCTGGTGCAGGTCAGGAGGAGACCAGCTGCATCCCCCGGCCCCAGTGCCCACAGGAGTGCACCTGCCTCGACACCGTTGTCCGCTGCAGCAACAAGCACCTCAAGGCCCTGCCCAAGGGGATCCCCAAGAATGTCACAGAGCTGTGAGTGGTGGGCGAGTGCCCAGGTTCTCCCTTGACTGGCAGTCATCCCCCTGACTGCCAGCGACTTTGCAGCTCTGGGTGGGGAGGGTCTCGGCTGTGGCGTTGCAGGTGTCAGGGCAGAGATGCTCCCTCCCACACCCCCATCCTGGAGCAGGACCCCCACCCAGCCAAGGGACACTGTCCAGCCCCAACCCCAACAAGGGGCTCTCTGGTGACTCAGGGCTACCAAAGGTGATGTGCAAAGGGTGTTGTCACCCTTTGGGAGGGGATGGGTGGGACAACCACCCCCTGCAGCTGCAGCCCCCACACAGCCGTGCAGCCTAGGGCTCTGTGGTCCCCAGCAGCCTGCCATCAGCAGCAGGGACAGGGCCACCCTGTCTCTGCCAGCTCCTCAGCCCCTCTCTCCTGTCACCTCTCGCCATGGCTGTGGGGATGTTCTTGGCAGCCCCAGCTCCAAGCACATGGGCAACAGGATGTGGTTTGCCTGGGATCAGCCACCCATCACCGTGTGTGTCAGGGAGATGCCCAAACAGCCACGCCAGGTCTGGATGTGCGGGCACCGTGATGCCTGTCACTGTGAAAGGGGCTCTGCACCTGTCTGGGGTGGGGGATGGCAGCAAGTCCTGTCTGCAGGGAGTGTAGGCACTGGTTGTGCACATGCATATGTATACCACCCCCTCGCACCCCTGCGCTGTCTCGCACACCCCTCCCCTCTCTACACCCTCCGCTCTCTCTCACACATGCCTTGGGAACGGTTACGGCCGCCCACGCTCACATCGGATGTGTAAATGTAGCACATGGCTGGTGTGCTCACACACGCAGGCTGCTGGGAGACTGTCCCCGGGGACCCGCATGTAGAGCCCTTGGGTGTGCTAATGCACTTGCACACTGACTCCTCCACCAGCCCAGGGGTCCCCAAAAGCCCCACAGGCCCGGGTGCCAGGAGGGAGGTGATACTGGAGATGCTCTTTGCAGCCTGAAATCCAGGGGCGTGCACAGGAGAAAGGAGGGCAGAGGGAGGGACCTCTGGCTTCTCAGCCACCTCGAGGTGCTTTTGTTCTCCTTTGCAGTTACCTGGATGGAAACCAGTTCACTCAGGTCCCAGGGCAGCTCTCTACCTTCAAGTACCTGCAGCTTGTGTAAGTAGCCAGGAACAGGAGCCCAGGTAGCCAGTCTCACTGCTGGGGCCTGTGGGCAAGGACGGGGTGTGTCCTCACGGTGTGTGATGCTGAGGAGGGGCCTGGCAGTGTGCAGGGACCCCTGACATCCCTCTGTGTCCCCCACTCTGCGCCAGGACACAGCTGACTGGCAGTGATGCTCAGCCCTGGGTGCTCACAGGTTCTGCAGGCGTTGGGCATGGGGCAGAAGGAGGACAGTAGCATTGCTGCCATTACCCTGTGTGACAGCCCTTGGAGGCCATGCCATGCTGCTGTTCACACCCCATTGCAGCTGAGCAGGCAGGGGAGCAGCAAGGGGGGTCAGGGCCCAGCTGGCTCCAAACCCTGGGGTCTGTCTTTTCCAGTGATCTGAGCAACAACAAGATCAGCTCCCTGAGCAACTCCTCCTTCACCAACATGAGCCAGCTCACCACCCTGTAAGTGTGGTCCCTGCAGCATGCCACCCCGGGCTGCGGCCCAGCTGAGCTGCGGGGGACCCCAAAGATTGGGAGGTGCTGGGGGCACCAGGGTCTCCCCTCTCCACCTGGGTGAAGCTGTGGTTCAAGCTGGAGCTCACACAGGGGGAGTGTGCAGCCCAGGGTGGGCTTTGTGCAGCACATCTAGCAGTGCCCCTGGTGCTGTGTTACCTCCTTCTTCCCTTCTGCAGGATCCTCAGCTACAACTCCCTGCAGTGCATCCCCCAGCTGGCCTTCGAGGGCCTCCGCTCCCTCCGACTGCTGTAAGTGGTCCTGCTCACAGCCCTGCTCGGCCCCTTCTCTACTTGCTGCCTGTGTCCTCTGTGTCTGCTTGGAGCTGGGCACAGGCGGGTGGGCAGGGTATGGGCTGCAGAAGGAGCAAGGGGAGATGCATCAGCCTCTTGGAGCAGATGGTGCATTTGCAACACAGTGTGGTGAGGTCCAGCTCTGTCACCCACACCTGGACCCATGGGCTGGGGGCAGCCCAGCTGGTCACAGTCCTTGCTGCCCACGCTGGAGCCTCAGACATCGCAGGACCCTCTGTTCTCTGCAGGTCTCTCCATGGCAATGACATCTCCAGCCTGCCTGAGGGCATCTTCGCAGATGTTACCTCCCTGTCCCACCTGTGAGTATCTCCCACTCTGCAGGGCTCAGGGCTGGACACAGGCTTGGGAGACCTTTAAAAACCACAGGGCTGAGTGCACCTTCTCTGGGAACTGAGCTGCCTCCTCTCCCCTAGGCCAGTAGCTGGGCCAATGTTTGTGGGGCAGTGCTGTGCCATGCCTGCCCTCCCCATGCTCCACCTCCCAGTGCTGCTGGCATGGCCCTATGGTCCTCGCTGGAGGTGAAGTCCCCTCCCGACCCCACCAGGTCACCGGGGTCTTCTAGCATGCAAGATCAAGCCATGCAAGATGCTGACACAGCTGTGGGTTGGCGGGGCTGCTCTGAACCCTGGCAGCTTGTCATTAGCCTCCTGCCAGGGCGCTTCCCTGCAGCCCCCCCCG